GTACTCATCGTTAGTCCAATACAAAGAGATATTTCACAGCCTTTAAGGCTATATTATTGATATTCATAAATAAGTAATGAACCTCTACTGTGGTTTGATCTAGTATCGTTCAGAGCTTTGATCTGCGAATAACCAGCAATCCCTGCAATTCAAGTTAATTATATTGATTGCATCACTGAATTGTTTCTTTACTAGCCAGCGCAGAAACAAATTAGCTTAAAATAATGGCATCAGTTAGCCCTTTAGAACCAAAGATAGCAACATGTTGCAGACTACTTAATGATAAATGTCATTTACAGAATCTGGGAAAAAGTTTGAGATCTGGCTAGATAGATTTGCCACTACAACAAGAAAACTACTATAAAATCGTTCTTTCTGTTGTATTATGCATTAAGCAGGCAGCTTTGAATCATTCACATGAATACAAATGTTATTTAAAGATTACTTAGAATCCTCATCATACGTCCATGAACACAAATGTTATGGCTTTGTGTTCTTCACTCCATATGCACAATCAGTTTGAAAAAAAAAATCATTTTTACCTCTTGTAGTCTTGTAGCATTTAACTTCCAGATTCTTGCCAGCATATTATGAATCTAGCCAGTTGATGTCAATTGGTTGAGGGTTACTTATTAACTCACAAATTGTATGTATAAAGAAGGATACTCAATGATAGCATGTATAAATGATTTAGCGTTCTAAATTATTAGACTATGGAAAAGATTCGAAAACATCCTATGAATTCAAAATTACATAAATAATAACTTAAGTGAGGGATGTAGCCTCGAAAGGCGAAAAGTGTAGAAGGAACAAAATGGAATGTATACAAATATTTGAAAGGTGAGAAATCTTGAAAATATAAAATACCAGTGTAAATTTTACTCGAACAATTCTTGGTGTAAAGGAAGAGGTTCACAAAACCCCTCCAAAACACACACAAGAGAGTGGGTGGGGTGGATTTTTTTGCAATTTTTTACTCTCATGGGGTGGGCCCCCATGTGAGTGTTCTACAATTCTTGTGTGAAGAGTCTGAAGACTAATTCATTTTACTCTACATTATTCCTAGTTATGTAGCTGGCAAGTATAGTATTTTTCTTTTGTAATTTTTGTTTTATTATTTCTAATCAAATTATTTGCTTAAATGATTTCTTAACTCTTTGTCATTGTGAATCTGCATGCCCTTGTTAATATCACTAATTCATTATTTACGATTTTAATTTAAGAAGAAAAGCCTTAGGAAAAGACCAGGTTATGAGAACTTAAAGAGCAACTGCATATTCTGATAGAGGCAAAATTACTTGCTAGTGTTGTGATTTATGGTTGAAACAAGCAAAAGAGATCATTGAATAGCTGCTCAAACCTGTGATATTTATTTCATACTGATTCTTTGCTTTATTTATTTGGGGAGATTCATAAATTTAATGAGGGAAAAAAAAGGAAATTGAATATGAAATTGAGTGCATGATGGATTCTTATACGAGAGTAATAAGTGATAGAAAATGCTTTAAAAGGATGAAACTAAACACATTGACATCAAGTATCACTTCATCAAAGAAGCAGAAACAAACAAACAAACAAAAATAGAGTTCAAACACTTCAAAACTGAAGAACAATTAGCCGATATTTCCACGAAGGCACTATCACGAGCAAAGTTTGAATTGTTGCCAGAGATTATTAGAGTTACTAAAATATGCACCAAGGAGGAGTCTTAATATTTGGTGCAAATTCTAGAAGTTATACTCTCTAGAATTCACTAGAGTTTTTGGTGAACGGGCAAACTTACTAATTAAATAACAAAAATCAGAATTTTATAGATTTTCTAGGGAGAAATATACAAGCTCTGCTCAAGCGACCATCTAGCAACAGGCTAGTGAAAATGCGGTAACTTTTCTTCTTGATCCATAATTTTGATTTCTTCAAAACCATTTCAACCAAAACTCCAACACCTACTAAAATTTGGATCAAACTACAACAATCCAAAACTTTTCAATCAAGTATGTCACTTATTAGTATTGAAATTAATTTTGCTAGAAAGTTGTATAATGTCCAAAGCTTTAATGGAGTGACATGATTGTGATGGTGCATTTATTTTTAAGAAGCCAATTTCAAATTCGACTGCAAGATTTCAAATTATAAATACGAAAGTAACTAAAGTCTAAAGTTAATAAATTTTTCCAAGATTTTAACTCGTACATTGAATACTTCAACGTTTCTAGTAAAGTAGGCTACTATTTTTGAAACTAGTTCACCACAAACTTTGTAGGGGAAAATATTTAGCCTTCTTTATAGTCACCAAACATCAAGTATTTTACTTTAGTATCATTCTAAATTTGATTTCATTCATCAAATTAGTTAGAATGTGATAGAATTTAGAACAAACGTTTTCTAGAATAAAAAAAAAAAAAAAAAAATTGAAGACGAATATTCGAACTTCTACCAATCAAGTTCACCCTGCTAAAATCATCGATTTCTTGAAGCAAAAATAAAAATATTGAAAGTCGAATATTCAAACTACAACCAATCAAGTCTACTAACTTCTTGCATTGTGAAAGAAAAGCTAGATATCTTTCTCAATTACACACTAATAGAGCAATAAATATTGGCTATTTTTCTTTCCTCGTGAGTACGTTGTGGGCTTGAATTCATAAAGATTTCATCTTCAAAACTGTCAACATTTGAATAATGGATGCGGTCCTTTAACTAATTTGACTTTGAATGCTATGAGTATGAAACATAATATTCACGTAAAGTTGGGCAAATTGGTAAATTTGTGTCGAGTCTTAATTGAATTGATCGGTCTAATCTGATTTATTAAAAATTGAATTGATATTTTAAGCTTTTTATTAGTTATTGCATGCATGTGATGTGATTAGATTTGATGCTCTAACTCTCAAAAGAATCAGATGAGAAAATCAACTGGTACTAGCCGAGTTGAGATCATTTCAATCTTGTTCTTGTGATGATTGGCATAATCACCGGCGGTTGTAAAGGGATGGGCCGGGCAGCCCCAACCCACTAGAAACTTTTTTGTATGTTACATATTAGCTCGACTTAAAAGGGAAAAAAATAAAAAAATTAATTCAGGCCTAAATATTTCTCTAAGGTAATGAAATTTAAGGATTGTGCTATTTGTACAGTCAAAGTTGCCATACAAATAGCAAAATTGTGGAACTTAGCCCCCGATAGAACCCACTAAATTTATAATACATTATTCTCCTTCTTCTGTTTAATCACACATTCTCTTAAAAAAAAAATACTATTCCAAAAATTATAATATCAAATAATGGAGGGTCTTAATTGGACTATGGGCAACCCCCTTACATAGGACTGCGCTGCTGCTTTGAATTTACCTAACCCAGTAGCCTGTGGGGGTACACTTGCTTCTAGAAAGATCAAGTATTAATTAGTAATTAAAGTTTCGTCTAAAGCTGTTTTTCTATTTTCCAAATAATAATAAAAAAAGTTGAACCCCAACTTTGAACGCCCTCATCGTCCCGTCCCCAAAACTTTGTAAAAGAGGTAAATCGCGGGATGTACCCCGACAAGTCAGGGAACAAGAGCTGCCTGTACACTGTGCCTACAAGGAGTTCAATTTCATATCTCAGGAATCGAACCCCTACATTACGACTGTCAGCAAGGCGTAAGATAATATCACTCATTTCCTTTGCGCTACTGGGTATGCCCCGGGGGCTGTTTTTCTATTTTCCTTTATTATTTATCGCGTTTTAAGAGTTCTTCCGACGGAGTTTCTTTTTTTTACTTCGACTTTTTGTAAGACTATTGTCTGAAAAAGCAATATTTGATCAATTATTTCTATAAATGTTCTTTTATCCACATAAAAAAAAAAACTTCCAAAACATTATTCAAATATGTTTCAAAACAATTTTTTAGTTTCAAAATAGCTTTTAACTTCTTAAAAGTCTTGTCAAATGAAAGAAAAGTCCTTTTTGTTTTCTGAGAAAATTAGTAGTAGAGACGATAATTGAAAAAATGGAGTTTTCATGAAATAGAAAAATTAATCATATAAGACAATCAACTACAAAATTATTAAAAATAATATGGATCAATTTGATGATGACTCATAACCAAGAGAATTTTTTATTTTTTATTATTATTAATTTATTTTATTTTTCAAGATAGAAGCCAAATAATGCGATAAAAATGGTGCAAGGTGATATATGTCATCCACTCCAAGTACTATTTCGTTTGAGTTTTACTTCAAAAAGTTCTTATAAATACTGGGACACCTTAAGTATTGATTGAGTAAAAAAAAAAAAAAAAATGATTTGTGAAGTTTAACTTAGAGGTAGAGGCAAGAAAGAGTCAGATCTACTGTCCATTTTTGTTGTCTATCTAATTAATTTTTGAGATATATTCTATAATTAACATGTTATTTCAAATTTACCCTAATTAATTTCATCACTAACCCATTAAATTGATGATTTGTTAAGAATCAATTTGATGAACAGCAAAGTGGAACAGCAGATCTCAACACGAGCCAGAGTTGATGAGATAACTAGTATACTTGTTAAGACGGTCGGATAACTTAATATTTAATGAGGACAAAGTTAAAATTAGATCTCTTTAAATTATTTGTACGCATGAACGCACACGGTAATACATGCCTTATGCTAACGTTAATTAAAAGAGCATGGACAAAGACCACGGTTTCCGATGATGAAAAACGTCAATTTATTCTCATCATTGAGGGATCATCCTTCATTTGTTTATCATTAGATTATAAATTGGCACATTGTAAATTTTGGAGTTTGTAATTTGTAATTACCACTATGGTTAGTGAAAGCCACTTAAAATTTTTGGACCGTCTTAAGTGGACAAATTAGTCAATATTTACCAATTTCGACCATTAAAAAAAATAAAAAAACCTTTTACGAGTTTAAGCAAGTGTATAGATTAAAAGTAAAAAAAAAAAAAAAAAAATAGTTTATAAAAAGCACAAAATTTCCTTCTAATTAATCTCAACTGCATACCAAAAATAATTGCTTTTTTACTCAATTGTTTACATTTCTGTATCTGATTTGTTTCAGAATAATGAGACAAAGGTTGAAAAAGAGAATAAGAATGAAGGCGAAAAGAAGGCGGCGGCTGACGGTGGCGGAAAGAAACACGACAGTCCGATTCCCGTCGTGTTGAAGCTGGACTTGCATTGTGAAGGCTGCGCCAAGAAAGTCAAACGCTCCGTTCGCCATTTCGAAGGTACTAATGTTTGTTCCTTTAACTTTTTGCCATCCAATTAATGATTAGGTCACCAAACGATAGCTACAGCAATTTTTTTAGAACCCAGGAACTAAAAATTAGGATCTGTTACGTAATTTAAGTGTAAGGAAAAATAATTTTTTTTTTTTTAATTTTATCATTTCGTGTAATTATGGAATATATTAATACAAACAAGTTTCTTCTTCTTTTTCTTTTCTTCATCATAACGTTCAAAACTTTTTTAACCGTTGATCAAATTATGGAATTTAAAATTAATGTTTCTTGGTATTTTATGAAACACCGATATCAAAATAAAGTAAAAGTTACTTTTATCTTTAGTCAATAACAAAAGACTTTTGGAGCATATTCAAATGACTTTAATGGAGTTTGGAAACTAAGAATGCGTTTTGTTTATTGTTTTGAAATCATTTTCAATTGTCTTATGTACTCAAAAACTATTTGATGTGTTATTTTCAAAAATGAGAAAAATTTTACAATATAAAGTTTAAAATAACCTTTTGACGTTTTGAGTGTTTTATGAAAATACTCAAAAAACTCAAAACAAAGGAAATTAACTTAAAAAATAATTAATAAAATCACACAAAACTTATTCAAATGAGTTATGATTCACGTATAGGGCAGAGGCTCACAAGCCTTTGCCAGGACAGACACAAGAGGTGAGGCCCGCATGAAATTTTTTTTTTTTGTAATGGAGGTTGAACTCATCGACCTGTCCTCTACAGTGAGAGGCTGTAAGGCCCCTGTATGAATAGTGCCCATGTACTTAGGGCGTGTCATCTCTCAATCTTTATCTTTCTCTTGTCCAAAGCTTTTATGAGAAAATCTATCTCTTTGGTGCAATCTCTCAATCTTACAGTGATTCCTTTTTTTTTTTTTTTACAATTTTAAATTTTATATTTTTTATCACACATTAGCATGAAAATTGATATGATTCACTAAGGGGCCATTTGAGCCTCTTTATTTGTGGATTATAATGCGATGAATAGTATTTTTTAAAAAAATGAGTGGTTAAAAAATGTTTAATTTACGCATAATATTATTTTATTGAAGATTGTGTGGTTAAAAGTAGGTGAGAGAAAAATTTAATTTAATGTAATGAAAAATAATAGGGCTCAAACAAGGGTAAATAATCAAATTACTTGAAAAAGCATTTTTTAGTTTTTTTTTTTTGTTTTTGAGAAATGATTTTTCAGAATGACAAGTCAAACGTATTTTTTACGATCTTAAAATAATTCCACAAAACGAAAAATAGAGAATGGATTCAAAACAGGAAAAACAGAAACCACCCTAAGAGTCTAAGCTGGTTGTCCAATTATGTAGGAGTTGAGAATGTAAAAGCAGATTGTGGCAGCAATAAATTGACTGTGACCGGAAAGATGGACCCCGCATGGCTCCGAGAGAGAGTTGAATACAAGACCAAGAAGAAGGTGGAGCTGGTCTCCCCTCAGCCCAAGAAGGACGACGGCAGCGCCGGCTCCGGCGACAAGAAATCTGAAGAGAAGTCCGATAAAAAACCAGAAGAGAAATCCGACAAAAAATCAGAAGAGAAAAAGGCCGATGATAAAAAACCCAAAGAGGTAAAAAAATAAATAAATAATAAAAAATCATTTATTTGAATTAAATATATTGAGATAATTTTGATTAATTTATTTCAATTTTCTTTTGATTGTTCAGCCTTCTCCTACTACAGTGTTAATGAAAATTAAATTGCACTGTGACGGATGTGCGCATAAAATAAAGAGAATTATAAATAAGAACATTGATGGTGAGTTGACCTAATCAATTGTTTTCATTAGATTAGTTAAGAATATATAATTTTCAAATTATCGGCATGAATCAGACCAACCCAAGATTAATGACGATTTTATGTTTTGTTTAATATAGGAGTTGATTCAGTGTCGACAAATTTAGATGAGGATTTGGTGACGGTTAACGGGACAATGGACGTAAAGCATCTTACGGCATTCTTGAAAGAAAAGCTAAAACGGAACATAGAAATTATTCCTCCAAAGAAAGACGAGAAGGGGAAAGACGGTGGCGAACAGAAAAAGGAAGGAAGTGGAGACAAGAAAGAGGGCGGTGAGAAAAAAGATGATGGTGGTGGAGAAGGAAGCAAAAGCGAAGGGACAAAAGTCGAGGTGAACAAAATGGAATATCAGATGTATAATCCGATTACACATTATGCAAATCCGATGTACCATCAAAATTCTGTCCATCACGACTATAATGCACCAATGTACAACCAAGGTTATGCCAATACTGGTTATGTGGTACAATATTCACAGGGGCCTCCTCTACCACCACCAACCTATGTGAATATAAATGATCAAATGTTTAGCGATGAAAACCCTAATGGTTGCTTCATTATGTGACGATGACAATCTTGTCATTGAGGGATAGAGTTCATGTATTAAATTGTAAATAAATCATAGACGAGGTTTATGAAAATGGAATATATATTAAAAAATATATCTGAGGACACTATTTCAATGTCATTGTTTTGTAGAATTATTCTAACCGCTGGCCGGTTATTTTATTAGATTTTCATTGTTTGACTTGAATTTTGTAACATAAACGTTTAATTATATTTTGCTAAACCTAATTTTATCTAGATTATTTGCTAACAATGAAAGATATGTTAATTAAGCCTGTGGTTAGAATGGTTCCACGTGGCAAACATTTTCTGGTTCGAAGTTGTCTCTTATTCAACTATTCGAGAAAATAATTTACTCACTATTTAACAAAGCCGACGTATTATTTGTACGGTCCCGGTCCGACACGGTGGTTGGATTTACAGCCGCCCATCCTTTTCACATTATAGACCGATGCCCGACCCCCACCTCCAACATAAATCGTTTTAAATTGTTGATAGAGTACAAATATCAAGTTTATTAAAAAATTCATGTTGGATCAGTTAGTGGTCTACCATGACTTGTTCAACATAGTTCTTTGTCAAAGAGCCTAAACAATTCAGCTCGGAACCTCGATTCAAGACACCGTAAATATAGGTTGGAATTGGTACATGTGAGACGTTATATGGAGACATCATTTTGATATGACTGAAAATATGTTCTCTCTTGGCTATAGAACCTTCCAACCTAACCAATTAGGATTTTGACAGATGGTTTACGATACAAGCCCAATGTCTAGGTATATCATAATGATCTCGCTACAATCTAACTCACCAACTATTTAGATTCCTTCAATGGGGCAGTAACACACAATCGTGGGTCAAAACACCGTAATTTAACATGATCTAAATAACAAGCTTGATGCCATCAATCTTTATGATGGGATGAATGTTGAATGAGGGGTTCCAAACTATAAAAATTCTTCGTGTTGTTGCTGAAATTCTAGCCATTCAATAATTTAACCCTAATCTCTTTAAGTTGATCAAAAAATACACAACATTTTTTGCCAACAACATCAACTATCCATAATTTAGTTTTAAATTGAAATAAAAATAGGGATAATTGCAGCAAAAGCCTTAAATTTTTAAAATACTAGCAGACTTTTTTTTTAAATAATTGATTTGTTGCAGTTGTCACCCTCCAACTTTTCCAAATGTTTCAAGTGAAGCTCTTTTGGACAATTTCCATCTACAGTTTCGTCAGTTGATCAAAAATTTAACTTTGAACACGTGTTTAATATTTTAAAAAAAGGGAAAAGAGTAATTTTCTATTTATCACATTAAATAATTAAATTAATTAAATTTAAAAAATAAGAAATTAAAAAACGCACAATCGTCTTCTTTCTCTCATGCCCCACCCCAGTACCCTCAAAACCAAAATTCGCCACCCAACCACCTCCACCTCTACCATCCACCTACTATCGGCCACCATCATGGCATCATTCACTCCACAACAATCGCCACCAAACCTCAAAAATGTAGAAATTTCCAATCATATGGGGAGTCAGGACTTAGAATTATGCATCCCCTCAAAACTCCCTATTGAAAATGAACTAATATATATATTAATGAAAAAGAAGAAAGACTTGGAATGCAATAAACTTATGGTTATATGTGCCTAAGCCCGATGCTTCAGTGTAAGACAAGATCGATGCATTAAGAGGTTGGTAATTGGTATTCCTTACAAACCAATAGAGAGCCCATTTCAAATTGCTGAGGGTGTTACTTGAGAGCTTTTGTCCAATTTTCCTGTTTATTGAAGCTTTGTGTAATGGAGTAATTTTCAACCTTGTCATTTTCTGGAGGAAGAAAGAGTGGTCTTGAGATTTGGCATTGGGTGGTGGAGGTTGTTGGGTGGCAATTGTGATAGGATGGATAATGGTGGTTGGTAGAGGTGGAGGTGGAAGTGGCAGTGATTGGGTGGCTGATTTTTGGTTTACGAGTGTGGGGGTAGGGGTGAGAGAAAGAAGACGATTATGTGTGTGTGTTTTTTCTTATTTTTTAATTTAATAAATTTTAATTATTTAATGTGATAATAGAAAGTTACTCTTTGTCCTTTTTTAAAATATTAAAAATGTTATTAAAATTAAATTTTTAATCAACTAATAGAATTGTGAATGGAAACAGTTCAAAAGTGACTTCACCTGCAATATTTTACTTATTTTCTTTTATTATTTTTTTTATGGCGGGAGAGCTTGCAACCGCTACCATTCGAATGTGTAGTGGGTAAACCTCGAGCTGACACAATAACCTGCAAACCACGCCAGTCAAATAAACCGCACTGAACAAGCCCTTAATATTTAAAAGTATTAAGGGTGAAAGGCTGTAACAAATCAAATGTTTAATAAAAATTTGTTAGTTTTTTAAAAGTTTGTGCTTTTGCTGCAATTATCTCACATAAAGTCATGTGACTTATATGTGATAACCAAATTATGCATTACTTTTCTCAACTCGTGAAGTTGACAAATAATTTAATGGTAAACTTTCCAAACCATAAGAGACGCTTCCACCAGCTTTTACGCAGATGAAAAGTTTAATGAATTTTTTAGAATATTTAAATAGTGCGTTTAACCTCCTAACCAATAACTAAAATTTTGGTTTTATTTATTTATTTATTTTGTATTGTTTTCTTCGTCATAGGAAATAATAAGAAATTATGACCTTTAAAATCCTCAAATAGCCGTGTGAAATTGAAACCTTTAATTTGAGCTAAGAGCTTGTTTAAATTTTTTGACCCTTCATCATAATAAAGGCTAAGTTAGAGTTCCTCTCCAATCTAATATTTTACATAGAGAGCTCGTTTTATCACAATTCAAGTAGAATCGATAATGACTAAATAGTCAGTAAAATTTTGACAAATTAACTTTAGGTTGATCTATATATCGATAATTATTCAATATGAAATTTATCTCTTAACACATCCACATTCATTCACGAAATCACACAATTGGAATTTCATATAGAAAGTATAATCAGAAATCTAGACTTGCTAAGAAAATGTGTAAATTTGATGCCACAAAAAAATAAAAAAATAAAAAAATAAAAATAAAAAAAACCTAATTTCTACCACTTTGACGTGTGGTTGCTTGTATTAACAAATCAGAAAAATGGAATCCCATTTTGTAAGTAACCAAATTGAAGAGTCGGAAATTATAAGGATTAATTGCAAACTTCCTTTTGAGACAATGACTAGTTTTTGTGCCACTCAAATAGGTAACCATAAAGATATAATACAGATAAACAATTCAATTTCAAATAATTAATCTTAATGAAATCCAACCCTTGAGACTGACTGCATTTGCTTGAGAGCTGCCTTCACACTACAGCCAAAAGTCCAATTACATAGTCCCCATTTTTTTATCCTTTGTGCATATTATTATTATTATCCGTAATTTAGTTAAACACGAATACTTATGTTTTTGTTTTATTTGAGAGAATTTTGCTTGGATACTCTACGGTATACATTTTTAAAAGAGATTACTAGTTTAGCTTTTTGAATAATGGTGAATGATTGCCATTTAGGACAATTTTTCCTTAACAAATGCACTTCAAATTAATTAATTTGAGATACTGCACATCAAAAGATGACAAAACTTTATGAAAAAAAGTATGTGAGGATCTATTTTTGCCAATCACTTTATCTAATTTAATGCACAAACCAAACACACCGTAATAACTATTAAAAATCTACACCCTTCGTTTCGCTCCTCTTGGCCGTCATGGGTGAGAGGTAGGGCCCAAATGATGTTATTTGGAGTTGACTTATTTAATGACTAGTATTAGGGTGTTAAGGCTAAAAAATTTGAAGGAATTTGGTCAATATTCTCTCCTACAAGCTTATATTTTGTTAACTAATAAGATCATGTTTGGCTATGCTTATATGTTTCTTATTTAAGTTATTTTATCACATAATATTCAAAACTTTTTATTTTACTATTTTGGACTTGTTTGTAATCGACTTAAATTAGAATAGATAGAAATGAATATATGTGTAGCAGTTATGGATGCAATGAAATATGCGAATAGAAATGATTTAACAAATTAAAAATAGGTGCTAAGCGTGCGGTCAAACTTTTTTTTTAAAAAAAAGTAAATCATTAAAAAAGTAACATTGAACGCAAACAAACATGCTCAAAACGAATTATATTGTTCTTTTTGTAAGTGTTATACCCTAAATCCAATCAACCTTGGATATATATACTTTTAATATATAATTAATGTAATTTAATGGCAGATCTATTATTTAATTAGTAGACAATTAAATTAAATAATAGAGTCCGTAGATTCAAATCTTCATAATTTGTTAATCACAAGGAATTGTGATTGTGAGATACAAATTACATATGACTAGATCTTAAATCGTCCGTGGTCGTAAGTAATAACGAGACACGGATATCGTTATTACGGATAGACCATCACGTGTGGCATTTCTTACTTGTGAAGTAAGTAGCTGATCTCACAAGTTAAAGTATGTTAACACTTAAATGAACACGTGGATGTTTTGTTATAGAACAAAACATTTGAGACCCACCGAGAGATTTCACATAGATAACTATCCGAGTATCAGTGGTTAATCTCTAACGTTTGATAGTGGAATTGATCATTTGGCTTGAGGTCGTTATGATACCTTATATGAGAACAATTATACTTTGGCGGTGTTGGTGTTGCTATGCCAAGGGCCGCTAATACGACATCGTTCGGGTATGTCAATAATCGTATGAAGGTTGTGAATGTTTAATAGAGAATTTGCCACTCTTAGATAATAAGAGATTATGATCTGCGTTCATTCAATTAAGTCGATAACGAAATTCTTGGCCAAGGTGTACTCATAAGTCAAAAAGGAATTTTTGATTTATATTGACTTAATAGTGGAATGAAATATATGATCGATAATCGAGATTGACATACTTCCATATCTCGTAATTGATCGGATCATATTGATGAAGAAATTATAGTTTCACGGTAAACGAACGAGTTTGGTTTTGTCATACTACGTGACATTTCTCGTCACATGTATTGCCCTAACACATTACTATATGTCAATCTGGGATAACAAGTGTGAATTTGTGATAAATTAAAAGGATGTTTTAATTTATCAATT